CTGCCCCTCTGAGGGTTAACTAATTCCTAAAGATAACAATTGGCCTGCCAGCACACCTTTGATATGTAGATCAACCACTTCAGAGTCCATTCCCCTACCTAGCTCTTTTAGCAAATTCTAGTACTTCCTGGGCACCATCCCCTGGCCCTAATCACCATAGGACCAGGAACAAGACTACTGGGAACCTCCTCAATAAACCAGAACCCACGGAAATTATTCCAACTACCCAATCCTGAGTTTGTTCCACTTGCTTACCTTGCCTCACCCATTCCTTCCCTTAAAAACCGCAATGAAGTCTCCAGCCTGTGGTTCCCCTTTCTGCCTACTCATCTGGTTTTGGCCCTTCCCTGGGTGGCCCTGCAGGGGCATGCCGTACTTCCAGTGCTTCCTGTTCCTTGGGGACTATGAATATAAAAAAGTAACCTCTTCCTTCACCGCAGTCCTTTCCGCACCCAATCACAACAATTCTCAGCACAGTTTTAAAACACAGACCCTAAAAGAGCAGCAGCAAATAAGGTAGACGAAATCCTCACCTTCAAGTTTACATTTTAATCTAGGGTTTTTAAGTTTGTGTGGGGAGGAGGGCTATAAAGTAAATTGAACCTAGGTATGACCAAGCCCCATTCTGTTCTTCTTCAACTGGTTATTTCCTGCTAATGTATGAAATAAAGGTGGTGGATGAGATTCGGAGAATCAGAGAATTGAATCCTGTTTCTCTTCTGCCTGGGCAAAGGCCAGACTTTGCTTGGACAAGGCTCCGCCTACTAATGTCTTGGGCTGAGGAGTTAGCGCCAGAAGAGGAACATTGTAATTTTACTTTGCCAGATGGTTAGGAGAGGGCAAAATGATTAGGAAGAATTACTAATCCCTTTCCCAAGGGCTTCCTGCCTCACCAAACTCCCAAAACTCTCATGGGATGATGATGGACACCATTCTAAAAATTAAACGAAGGGTCAGTTAGATCTTACAGAGCAGTATAGAGTGGGCAAACAAAAGCAACACCTTGATATGACCACAGCGGCCCCCCTCCCCCCACCCCACCGACCCTCCAGGGGGAAGAGGCCCTTATTGAGTTAGGCCTTTTGTTTGGACACCTCTTAAAGTGCTTTCCTCACTTCCTCTGTTCTCCCTGGCATCTTCCTCTTCTTGTGTCTGCTTCCCAGGCTGGTGGCCCAATCTGCTTTCTCAGGAAGAGAGCTACTTTCTGCCTATCCCCAAACTGGGGTTCCTGAAATGAAATCTATCTTTGTTTCAGCTCTGCCCTCTTGGGGCAGGTAGATTCTGAGAGCCTCTAGAGTTAGAGAGATAAGAGAGGCTGACTCCACAGCCGGTCTCCCCACAGCCAGAGCTGGAGCTAATCTCACCAGTTTTCCCTTTAGAGGAGAAATATCTCAGCAAAGCAGACATTTGTTTTTTTTTTCTACAAAGACAACAGTCTAGCCTCACATGGGAAAGTATATTCCTCTTATTAACATGTTCTTTTCAAAGTCATAATCCTTGCTCTATTTTGCTAAGGAGCCTTGGACTACTGCCCGAGCTTGGTTACATCTTGGGTCAGGGTGTCAGCTGTGAGTCACTGAGACAGCTTTCTGATCCCCAGATCTCTTGTCCAATAGAAGGGCGAACAAGATGTTTGAGTTCATTCCTCCTGCTTGTGGTTTTTTTCTTAGTTCATATATTCATCCTTTCATAACATGTCCTAAAAAGGCATAGACAATTAGGTGGGGCTAAGGGAAAAGTCGCACTAGTAAGATAATTTTTCTACTTGTCTGTCAGGATCCTGCAGGAAACAGCTGGTGTGCACCAAGTTTCATTAAAGACAGTGTAATAAAGGGAGTATTTACAGAGGTGCAAACAGACTTAAGAAAAACCAACAAGGAACAGTGAAGACAAGTGACAAGCAAGGGGGCGCTCACACTGCACATGGGCCTGTATAAGTAAGTGGGCATGGTGTTACCTGACCCTGGGAGAGTTCCAGATGTGGAATAGGGCACTCAAACCTTGTTGTGGCAAAGGAATGTACCATTGCAAAAACCATGGCCTGGGAAGGAGGCAGAGAAAGATAAAAAGGTGGACCTCTCTTTCTTCCTGCCCTCTAATCTCCATCTTCAGCACATTGGCCAAAGCCCATTGGAAGCCAATTGTCAAGGATCCTGCCAGGGCAGAAGACAAGGTAATGAAGGATGGAGAATGGAGGGTCAAATAGAGTAACCAACACACAGTCAATATTTGAAAATTTAAATAATGGTCCACTTATTCCATAAAGCAAACCACTAGGCAAAATTTATTACACTTTACATTAGAATAGTGGACTTCTGCGTCCCCTGGGTGGCTCAGTGGGTTAAGCCTCTGCCTTCAGCTCAGGTCATGATCTCAGGATCCTCTGATCGAGCCCCACATCAGGCTCTCTGCTCAGCAGGGAGATTGCTTCCCTCTCTCTCTCTCTGCCTGCCTCCCTGCCAACTTGTGATTTCTGTCTGTCAAATAAATAAATAAAATCTTAAAAAAAAAATAGTGGACTTCTGTATGCACCAAAAGAAATGTAACAATACCTCATGCATCTAGGACACCTGGTTCCTGATCTCATGATGGGTGGGGTTTGGATTTTCTTTCTCTATCCCTTCCGGTCCTATCTCTTTACTCTGCATTCTATGTCTGTCAGGGACAAAACAAAACCTATACCGACCTGTGCATGTTTGAAGCATCCCAGGGTTTTAGGAAGACTACCTGTGGTGTGCATTGCCCCACCCCCACCCCCCATCTTCCCCCACAGACATCAGGAATCCCTTTCATAGCATTGCTGACAGATTATCTAGTCTGACTTTGGTGACAAATTGTTTACCATCTCCCAAGGGAAACCTCTGGTATTGAACAACTCCTGTTTTAAAAAGTTGTTAATACTAAGCCACAACAATATTTATTAAAAATGTTTCTCTTTCAAGTGACAAGTTTTATCAAATTTAGGTCCTTCAAGGATATTAAGAAACAAATGGAGACCAGGCTTGAAAATTGCCTGAACAGACAAAATGAGTTTAGCCATACAGGCAAAGCTTAATTTAGCTCACTTTGTAAGACTAATTTGCCAAAGTCATTTTTGGCTTATGCCTCTGGAAATCATAACCAAAACTTGGAGTGTTTCACAAGATTGATATGAGATAACCACTGATCAATTCTCTATCTTTTACAAAAATCTAATATTAAAACCAGTCACTGAGAGGGGCGCCTGGGTGGCTCAGTCCTTAAGCGTCTGTCTTCACCTCAGGTCCTGATCCTACGATCCTGGGATGAAGCATCCAGCTCCCTGCTCAGTGGGAAGCCTGCTTCTCCCTCTCCCATTCCCTTTGCTTGTGTTCCTTCTCTCACTGTCTCTCTCTCAGTCAAATAAACAAATAAAATCATAAATAAATAAATAAAATTAAATAAAAAAGAAAATCTAATATTAAAATCAGTCACTGTGAGGGGCGCCTGAGTGGCTCAGTCGGTTGAGCATCTGCCTTTAGCCCTGGTCATGATCTTGGGGGTCCTGGGATCCAGCCCTATGTCAGACTCCCTGCTTGGTGGGGTGCCCATTTCTCTCTCTCTCTCCCTGCCTCTTCCCTTGCTTGTGCTCTCTCTCTCTGTCAGATAAATAAATTAAAAAAAAAAAAACAACTTTGAAAAAAAAATCACTGTGAAAAACTAATAGTCCCGATTTCTCACTACATAAGCTGCTTTATAACAATATACCTGTATCCCTGAACTTCATTCCATGTTTTGATTTGAATGCTCCTAGTCTGTAAACTGTCTTTTTGCTGTGTGCCCAATAAATAAACTTTTACTAGTAACTACTTGCATGATTTATTGGTTTCCTGTTCTTTCTGAACTCTTGACAAAAAGACTTAAAAGTTGAAATCCTTTCAGTTTAGCCTTTAAGTGCAAGATAATTCAACACCATCCGTACCATTTGGCCATGTTTTCATTCTCCTAAGATGTTTTGTTAAATGGAATGGAATCTATTAACTGGATTGAATGGAATCTGGAATCCCAGAGATTCTTATTTGCTGCTTCTGTGGAGCAAAATAAACTCAAGAGTGGAGTACAGATGTTGAGTAAAGGAGGTGAAGAAGTTAACTGGGGACAAGGAACAGCTACGTTAAGGGAAAAGAATAGGGACACAATGACATTGTTAAAGAATTACTAGCTGAAGATCACAAAGGAAGAGAAACAGCATAAAATTAAATAGGGAATGTTTACGGCACTCAGGAGCCAAAAAAGTAAAAAAATAAAACTGGACGATTCGGTGATAGTTTCTGTTCATTCCTATGGATTTGCTTCTACCCTTTTCCACCCTGCTGTGTGTCCTGGAAGGCTGACCTGTATAGACTACATCAGCTACCCTCTGGCTTCTGAGAAGGGTCAGCCATTTGGGACCCTGGACAGGAGATTGGACGGGAAGAGAGTCAGACTGGAATAGTCATCCTGCCTCTCATTCTTCCTGCCTGTGAGGTCGCTGCAGGCTCAACTCAAGGCCAGAACCTCAGTGAGACTGCCCTCTTTACACAGTTCTCTCGATTCCAGTAACCCTCTTTCCTTCAGGCCTGGGCACTGCCAAACCCTTGTGGTTTCCTATGCCCTGCCCACAACTTTGCAAATAGTCCCGTTCATTATTAAATTGCCCAGTTGGAATGTGTCATCTATTTCCGACCAGGATCCTTATATGCTCAGTCCGCTTCATTTACTGAGTAACTACTAGATGCCAAGGAAGAATAAAATGATAAATCAGACAGTTCATACTCTCAAGGGGACGGTCTGGGGAGTGGAGACAGCCACAGGAACAGATGATTACATCACAGTTTGAAAATGAAACACAGAGGCACTGAATGGGGAGGTGGGTGAGTGGAGGCATAAAGCAGAGGCAAGGGCAGATCTGGAGAAGGTGTGTTGGTGGAGATGGGGTCAGGAAAATTCAAAGGCAAAGATGTGAGTAGAGGGGTCAGGAGCTGGGTGAGAAGTTTACAGCTATGGACGTCAGGGCCAGTCAGGGTGTGAAAGGACGAGAGCGGAGGGTGAGGCTGGGCCAGACCATAGAAAGCCTTATACTGCAGGCACGGGGCCTTCTTTCTCATGTACCTATTCTCCCCCTCTTTCTCCACTAAGGGAAAAATAATGACACAGGTGAAGTGTGCAGCCTCCTACTCTTAACCCTTAATCCTGCCCTACCACCAGGGCTCGACACTCCTACTTCCTTGGTCTTTCTGTTGAAAATCACTTCCACACGCTGCCTGCACATCCGGAGATCTTTCAAAATGGCAACAAGACAATATGGTAAACCAGTCCTTGGAGATGAGCTACAGGAGAAGGCTAGAAGTGAATGTTCCCAAATGCATTCTAGAGGCCCTAACACCCAGAGCCACGTTTTTGGTTTTGTTTTGTTGTTGTTGTTTAAGATTTTATTTATTTGACAGAGAGAGAGCACAGGCAGGGGGAGCAGCAGGCAGAGGAAGAGGGAGAAGCAGGCTCCCTACTGAGTAAGGATCTGGACGTGGGGCCCCATCCCAGGACAAAGGCAGACATGCTTAACAGACTGAGCTACCCAGGGGCCGCGAGAGCCACTTTTTCTTTTATAGCAATAGACAACAGGCAACAGACAGTCTAATGGAGACGGTAACAGGGATGCTGGAAAGAGCGGAAAGAGTCAAGTTTCATTTCATCAAAGTGGGGCTTCGGCCCAGATTAGTTTGTGTAGGTGGGCATTTTTATGATCCATTATTTATCACACTGTGTAGGCAAATTCAAGGTCCAGGAGATGTCTGTCTTCCCTCTCTAAAGCGCAAACTGCAAGCAGTTTTCTTGTTAGGTAGGGCCTCTTGGGCACATTCCTGGCATCTACTGAAGACAGCCAGTCCTCAGGGCTGGGGCTCAGCAGGCTTCGTTAATCAAAATCAATACACAATCCCATCCTCTCTTCTCAAAACCTAGCGGTAGCCCTACTCCTTAATCATCTCACAAACAAGGGACACGGCAAGCGGTGGGTATGGAATCCTTCCAGCTCTCGCACCAACAACGAACTAGATGGGTTATTGGATGCCGGGCCAGGCATCCAATATTCCAGTGGCCCAGAGATTCCAGCGGCTGGCGGGGAAGCCCCTCCTCCCGGGCGGAGGCGGCTCCCAGGAGTAGAAGTCCGAGTCCCGCCCCGGAGTCAGCACCTTAAGGCCGCCGCCGCCTCCTGGCAGAGTTCTTGCGGCTGGCTATGGGGCTCTGATAGCCATGGACGGCTACAAGGGCTTTCTGGGGCTGCTGGTGTCGTCGCTCCTCGTCGGCTTCCTGTCCGTGATCTTCACCCTCATCTGGGTCCTCCACTACCGGGAGGGACTCGGCTGGGATGGGACCGCGCTCGAGTTTAACTGGCACCCGGTGCTCATGGTCACTGGCTTCGTCTTCATCCAGGGCATCGGTACTGGGCATCTCCTGGGAGGCAGCGGGGAGGGACGCAACGGCCGGGGCCCGGGACGGATCGCTCTCACCCGAGTGGGGCCGACGTGGGCGAGCGAGGGAGTGAGGGGGGCGCGCGGGGCGCGAGCGGAGGGTGCCCTGGCGCCGAGACGGCGGGGCGCGGCGGCGGGACCGAGTTGGGGGCCGCGGGCGCGCAGAGCCGTGACTCGGCCGACGTGGGCTAGCGGGCAGCGGCGGCCCTGGGGCGGCGCGCGGGCCGGGGAGCGCGGCCAGACGCCTCGGGGAGGGGGGAAGGCAGAGCACAGCTGCAGCCGGGCGGGTGGCCCGCTCCGCCGGCCCCACTTGGTTAACTCTTTGCTGCGAGTGTCGGGGGCGCGCTGGAAGCGCCCGGTGACCCCCGTAGCCGGGACGCGGGAGGGAGGCTGGACGTCCCTGTGGACGGAGCCTGCGCGGTCCCTGGCGCAGAGAGGCTCTTTAGGCGAGGCCTTTCTCGGAACTTTCTTCAGGGGGGCAGATTGGGAGAGAAACGCAACGGGGGAAATGGTGGGGCGAGAATTTGTCGGTCCCGGTCCCAGCCTCTGTCCTGAGTGAAGGGGCCGGCCGGTCAGCCGGTGGCCAGGGTGAGGAAAGCATCAACTGGGGTTTCACTCCTCGTAGAGCGTTCAGTTCAGTGCAGTCCGGGAAGCCTCCGGGACTCAAAAGGGTGTTAGGCTGCCCTGCCTGGTCATGGGACAGACTTGAGCCCAACTTGTTTTGGTGGCTGCCGACCAGTGAAATTTCCCCTGCGGGCCTTCCCGTTGGGCGCTGGCCCCGAATCGGGCAGGAGATGCCAGGTGAGGGCCTGAGGCCCGCCGCCTGGCTCCCAGACGGGCTTGTGCTTGAGACATCCCTGGGGTTTGCCGTGTCCATGTTTGGCCCCGCACGAGCCAGCTCCGGGCCTGCACTGCCTGGGATGAGGCTGACCGAGAGGGAGGGTTCTGTGGACGGCAGATTTTGTTTTGGTTTTTGTTTTGGGGTATAATTGACACATATGTTTCATGTGTGTAACATGGCCAGGTGTATGATTATATTTAGGATTTATAAATCGGAATGGTCACCACAGTAAGTCTAGTTAACATGCACCCGCTCACATAGCTACACAGTTTTTTTTCTTGTGATAAGAACTTTGAAGATGTGCTCTCTTAGCGACCTTTAAGATCTACTTTCTCATTCACGGCTCAAATATACAATATAATATTATTCATGTAGTCGTCATGCTGTGCTTATTTTATACCTGGAAGTTTGTAACTTTTGACCACCTTCACCCATTTCGCCTCTGCACCCCCGCTTCCTCCCATCCATGGTGGTTTTTACTGTGGCTGTGTAGTGCCACTCAGTGTCCTGACAGTTTCCTTCCTCTGCTGCTTGGCTGGAAAGGAAGCTTTAGCTAGTGGTGCAAGCCCCACTTATTTGTAGACACTTTTCAAAAAGTGGAGTTAAGGCCTGGTTGATAAAGTATTTGGAAGAAGGTAGAAAGCGGTGTGTGTGGGCGGGTGGTTATAGCTCAGAAAACAACGGATAGAAGCATAAAGGTTTCAGAAAGAGGTGCCCACCAGCTGAAACCTCTAAGCCTTGTCTTTGAGCAGGCCACGTTTTCTCCATCAGTATCTGGCTCTCCAAAACAAACAAGTGAAGAAAAGAGCTCTGATCTCTTTCGCAAAGCAAAGATTTTTGTTTCCTTGTAAAACGTTGCTGCCCCCTTCCACGGGTGTGGCCAGCACCCTCTCACCCTGGGATGCAGTGGTAGGTGTTGCTCAGGCTTAGTTCACCTGGGTTGCCATAGGCAACGGGGTGTGAGGGCCATCAGGCAGCCAAGTTATTTCCTTACGTACGTCTAGGTGATTTTGCTACTGACCGAAAATGAAAAAAACATACTCCAGTTCCAAAGTCGCTGTCATCAGAAGCATTCTTTCCTTGGTGGTGGAGCCCTGAAGTGTGGCCAGAGCTGTCAACGTCCTCTGTTTGCTCAAAGTAGGAGAAACAGTCTCTTCATCTCTTCCAACCAGCACTTCAGAGCAGCTCCTAATACCAGGAAATTTTCCAGAGTCTTCTCATAATTGTGAGGATAAGGGAAACACAGATGATACTAGTTGTTTTCTGACTGACCCAAGAGGAGATGGTCATAAAATAGTCACTAACATTTATTGAGTGCTTTCTGTATGCCCACTAGTGCGTTCTTTCACAGGGATTTAAGAATAAACCAAGGCACAGAGCAGCTAAGTACCTTACCCTTATTTTCAGGGTTCATTTCTCTGCCTTTAAGGTAATATACTTACATTCTGCAAAATATTCTTAAGAGGAGCAAACACTTCATCTAAAATACACCTTGAAATTCTTTATTCCTGTTAGAGTCCATTAGAGTTTTCCTAAAAGGGCTTCTAGTTTCTCTAAACTATGCGCTTTTCTTAATCTGTCCATACTCACTTTGGGGCAAAAACATGTAAATGGAAGGGCGCCTGGGTACCTCAGCCCATTAAGCTTGATTATGGCTCAGGTTGTGATCTTAGGGTTGTGACATCAAGCCCCACCTAGGGGAGTCTCTCACTCTCTCTTAAAAACAACAACAACAACAACAACAACAAACCAAAAACTTGTAAATGGATATTTAGGGAATTTTCATCTGTTTATTTTATGCAAACTTTGTTTTCTTAAAGCTTAGTTACGGTATTTGTATCAGTTTTGGAATGTCTGTCCTGTTTACTATTTGGATTCCAGATTTGCAAAGCACTTAAATCAGATAATGCATCTAATCAACATAAACATAAGTTTCTTCCTGCAGACAGGCACATGCATAGTACTCCCGAGTTTTTACAAATCTCAGTGGGCCAGTGTCCCCTCGGGTCCAGCAGTGGAAGGGTAAGTGTTCAGTAATCAACATTATAGGCCAGGAGGGAAACACACATTACAGACCAGTCATGCTAGAACAGGGATTTTTTACTGTGTGTAATTGTTTCAGGGAGGAAATTTTTAGGTTTTGCTCTTTCAGATCTCTAGTAATGAACAGGATGCAACTGAATTTGTCTGTGATGCACAAATATTTAGAGATGAGGAAGGGAAGGCTAAATTACAGTTATTATTCTAAGCATAAAATGCCTTACAAATACAATACACAAACAGTAAGCAATACTTAAAACCATTTGAGAACAATCAAGAGTCTTGTGAAACACCTTTAAAAAGTAAGCTCTGGGGTTAGGTTAACTAGCAGAAAAGTTACAAAATAAATGTGTATACATAGAGGCCCGCAGACACATAGTCCAGATATATTTTGAGAAATACATGTGTTCTAAAAGAGAATATAGCCAACAATGGGATATCTAAAACTGAAATAAAATTTTAAACGAGTGGGATATCTAGTAATTATCTAGTGATTAAGAAAGAGTTTCAGGGCGCCTGGGTGGCTCAGTGGGTTAAGCCGCTGCCTTCAGCTCAGGTCATGATCTCAGGGTCCTGGGATCGAGTCCCGCATCGGGCTCTCTGCTCAGCAGGGAGCCTGCTTCCCCCCCCCCGCCTCTCTCTCTCTCTGCCTGCCTCTCCATCTACTTGTGATCTCTCTCTGTCAAATAAATAAATAAAATCTTTAAAAAAAAATAAAAAAAATAAAAAAAAGAAAGTTTCAAAGAGAACTTAGAAGAGGCTTTGTGCTTCTCTGAAAGGAATGTTTCCCATGAAGTAAATACACTGCCAGGAAACCAGAGAAACAACCCTCAAAAAGAAGGCCGCAGAAAAGACTGAAACAAATAAACCCTCTCAAAGTGGCAGCTGACCTTTTAAAAGGTTCAGCAAGGTGGAATGTGTTATTCAGTAAGAGGTAGAAAATCCAAGTATTTAAATTTGCGGAATAGAAGTCTCAGCAATTCTATCCTCCTCCCTTTTCCACATGTAGAACTCCGTTTACTGTATAAACTGAGGGGAGAGAAACTGAATTGTGTAATGATCTCAAGTTGGCTTTGTGAGAAAACGTAACTACGTTTCAGTAACATTAAAAAAGCTAACAAAAAGAAACTGAGTACTTCTTAAAAGGCAGTTGGCATATCCGATTAATGCCCCTAGAAGTGACCACATTCCAAGTCCACTTAAGTGTATTTGAAAATGCTCTTGGGATAGAGCCTGGCCAAGAGGACAATGGAGAGAATGCCCCAGATACCTACCCCAAAACCAGCCTTGGGAGCACCACCGAGAACAAAACCTACCAATTTTAGGGAAAGGAAGCTTGCTACAAAGCATAAGGACACAATGCAAGGTAACCCAAAACAGAATTTTTGTTATAAATAAATACATGCAGATCTCTTTGTAATATAACTAATAAAAATGTTATAGAAATGATTATTTTGCTCAGTTTTTTTAATATCTGGCTCTAAAATAACACCTAGAACCGACAGACAGTAAGCCAATAAGAATGAAGGAGTGATTAGTTCTGTACCTTCATTAAATTGTTAGTAACAAAATGCAATTTTACTCATTTGGGATGATAATGGTAGCATCTAAGGTAAAAGTGCCCTCCCTTGCCCCTCAGTGATTAGCCTGTTTAGCCAGTTTGGGTGCACAGATTTATTTGGGAAGAACAAGCATCAGATTATATTGGAAATGCATCTTTCTTCTAAAGACCTCAGGTGCATTAGAATGTTGCCATCTAAGTACAAACTGTGTCTCCTCTTGTCTACCAAAGACATCAATCCTCCCTTTTTCCTTCTGCATCATAAACTTTCTTCCCACCGTTGGATTATTTCCAACATGTTATAATGTCTGTCCTCATAAAACCAGCAGCACTCTTAACGCCATGTTTCCCCTTCAGCTACTGTTTCAGTTCTCTGCTTGCATTACCACAGAACATTTTTGGAAATTTTTGTCAACACCTGAAGTATAGACAAAAAAGTATCTCCCATTCCTCTCCCTTGTCCTGTTTTGAAGCCACTCCAGTCAGGCTTTTACTCCACTGCTCAGTCAAAATTGCTCTTAACGTAG